ACGCCAGGTCAGACAGTGCCTTTCTTTATGTCTGAAATTTGTGCTGGCTAAAAATAGGCGGTTATCTGAGCATAGTTGTAATAGGCGATCACCGTTATCTGTACGTTCAGCTGGGATTCCGAAAGTGCCACCTAAGTGCCTTTCTGCCTCACTCAGTCTACCCACCTGTGCGTTGAGGTCACCTGCAACAACCACTACGTCCGAACGTTTGGCTTTCGAGAGGAGGTTAGACAGTTTATGGTAGAACTCGTCCTTCACTTCATCCGAACTACAGTCAGTGGGTGCGTAAGCAGAGATTACAAAGAGACAACGGCGAGTCTCACTATTCCTTTTAGTTCTCACTGTGCCGTTCAGCCTCATAGCGCAGAGGCGACTATCAACTGGGATCCAGTCTAGTAGTGAGTTTTCTGCCCTGGTGCTTAATGCTATACCTACACCTGCAAGACCACGAGAGCTAGCTATCGAATCTCCAGAAACTCGAAGGGTGAATTTTGCAGATTCACCAGATTGGTCAGGAGAGGTCAGGTGAATAACCACACTTGGGTCCTGTATGCGTGTCTCACAAACACAGCACACATCCATGCCCGAGTTGCTAGAGTCTTTGCCAACGAAGCCTGTTGGCCAATTTGACGGAGGGTGCGGACATTGAAGGCTCCAATATGTAATTTGGAGCGTGGTTTAAGGAGACCAGGGATGCTGTTCTGTGGACTCAGATCGTTGTCGAAGGCTGCAGAGGTAGGAGAAATTGAAGATGATGCAGCATCATTAATTAAGAGACGTGAAGGAAGATTAGAAGGTAATGATGGAGGAGGAGGATAGCAGTCAGAAGAAACTTGGGTGCTGACAGAGTTGTGAGGGCGGTTGACACTTCCCGGCTGCCCACACCGTGGAAGGCTATTTCTTCTTAAGGTACCTGAAAGAGATTTGTGTGACCGCAGAGCCCATCGGACATCTGCTTGAGGCCTGTCACACCCAGCCTTTTGAGTATGATTATTTTGAATTTTTGTATTTTTGGGGCCGGATGGTCGAAAGGAAACGACAAGTGAACCAACACCGCCGGCCCGGCAGACCGTGGGGCGTGGTGGAGTGTGTTATTTTTGGGGCCGACCTTTTCTAACCCCCCCTTCCACTGAGAAGGCAGCATCAGCATGGCACTGCTGGTCATCCAAGGGAAACACCTTACTGCTGTCACACCCCATCCAGCTAGCAGCAGTACGACTTCGCCCTCAGACCCCCATCATAGTGTAGCAATTTACACTATAACGGTAACTGCTTTTCGTCTAACCACTACCCAACAGACCTTTCTGGTATGGTAGGACCTCGAGGGAACAAGCGTTCCACCAGCATAGCTCGTTGGGTCATTGTGATATGCAAGCCCGACCACCACGTCAAGGTAGCAGCTATCGGTCAGGGGTAAAAGTGATCACGCTGTAATTATCTTCAGATTCACAGCAAACGTCTTGTACCAGGCCAACGCCTCCAGCTAGACCAACATTTGGAAAGCGAATATGGAAGCTATTAACCTGGCAGCCTCTTCGGAGGACTGGACAGTCAATCCAGAAGCCTCAGTTGAAGTTGCGTGGTGATCCTTCAAATAGTTATATGCACGAGTGACCAAACCGTTCATTCCATGGACTATCCCGAGGGAAAGGAAACACTGTCCTCCGTGGACAAACCACGAAATGCGAATCTTGTTACGACGTAAGAAAAAGTGTTGGAGTCTTGGCACCCACCTCGGTACACCCAAAGTGGTGAAACAATACAAAGAAACCCGCAATAAATGTATCGCTGCTATCCACCGGTCTCGAATAAGCTTTGAAACACGTCTTGCCCAGGCTGCATTGCCACATATAAAGAGGTTATTTTCCTATATGAACTATAGAAATCAGATATGTCGCGGTATGCCCGCCATAATCAATGGGACCGAAACTGACTATTTGATTGAGAACGATAGGGAAAAAGCAGAAGCCATGGCTGGATATTTTGCTGAGGTCCTCACACAGGGATCTTCTGTGGACACTTATCCAACAGTAGAAGCATTGATATCCAACACAATAAACTCTGTGGATACCTATCGCAATGATGTATTTCGGATATTTAAGTAATCTCGACGTGGAAACATCAACGGCATCGGATAAGCTGCGCCTAAGGCTGCTTAGAAAGCTTGCACTCTTTGTACCCGGTCTATTTGACTACTATATTTAGACCGTCACTCAGTGAAGGCACACACCCCTATGATTGGAAGGATGCCATAGTAACACATATCTACAAGGTAGGTTCTAGGCAGCTCCCATTAAATCACAGACCGATAAGTTTGACTAGTACTGTAGTGAAAATCCTAGAAAGACTATTCAAGAAAGCCATTACAGTTCACCTAGAGAGCAACACTCTATTGCCTCGTTCACAGCATGGTTTTCGTAGAAATTTCTCTTGCTTGACGAACCTCCTTACGGTCAGAGAAAGTTGATGATGATGATGATGATGATAGGATACCTGTGGATGTCATGTTCACTGACTTTAGTAAGGCTTTCGACAAAGTACTTCATTCCAGGTTGCTCGGGAAACTGGAAGGTTTTGGAATCACTGCCAGTCTGCTCGCATGGAAAGAGACTTTCTTGTTGGCAGGAGACAAAGAGTTAGGATCAATTCTCAACTCTCCACTTGGAAGTCGGTAGAGAGTGAAGTGCCGCAAGGCACAACCTTGGGCCGCCTGCTGTTTCTCCTATACGCAAATGAGCTGCCTAATATCTCGAAATCCCCTATAGTTCTCTACGTTGATGGTGTAAGAATCTGGCCAGGAATTACGAACGATGAGGTTATATGTACGCTTCAGGCAGACCTATACAGCTGGTTTAGCTGGTCACAGAAGTGGGTGATGCCTATCAATGCAGGTAACTGTGTAAGCATACACTTTTAGCACACATAGCAACACCTACGGTATTGATGGGGCTTCTTTACCGTCAGCGCTGACCCATAATGACCTAGAAGTCACAGTGAGTTATGACTTGAGAACCATGGCTCACTGTTGATTGGTAGCAGCTCGGAGTTTTAGGACTTTTTGGGCATTACGTAGAACGTTAACGAAAATAAGTGGTGACATGTTCACCCTCTTATACACATCCTTCTTTAGGTCTGAATTAAAAAACTGTACACGGGCGATTAATCCTTGTCTGAAAGATGACACAGACCTTCTAGAAAGAGTTCAAAGGGAAACCACTCGTATGATCCCTGAGATGGCTGGCCTCACCTATGAAGATCGACTTCAGGAGCTGAACCTCTTCACTTTGTCCCATTGAAGACAGAGGGAAGACCTAATCATGCTATACAGGATTCTACGAAATGACTTTGGACCTGATCTATCTTCTCTATTCCTTCCCACTAGGTCGAAACACCCCAGAGGACATAGTAGGAGACTACAAAAGCAAAGAACGAACACAGTCTCCACAGAGTCTCGCATCGAGTAATCAACGCCTTGAACCGACTTCCAGAAGAAGTGGTGTCCGCATCATCAACTGACTCGTTCAAAAGGGGATTGGACAAGTAGAGAAATCTACTGGGAAAGGATTAATATAGGCTCGCAGCCTCCTATCCTCAAACAACAAATCTGAATCTGAACCACAGCTCCAAACAGATTATTACGTTTACAATGCCTGAAGTTATCAGTTTGTGGACCTTATGTAAGAGGGGACAAACGACTAGAAAAAATGAAACTGATGACGTATTTTGTTAGTAATGATAAAACCAGCTAGACTTTAGCACACGTCATGTTAAGTATCATAACTGAAAAGCAGCCAGCAGCAGAGAGGAAAATACTGGCCACGAACACTGAATTTGAGCACTTCAACACTTTTTCGTTGCAAAAAATTCATTACATTAAAGATGAGATAGGATTCTTAAAAAATGTGAGGTACATATAAGGCCATGCTAAGAAACGTTAAGCATGATGAGGTCAAATATAAGGTAGTTCAGTACAACAAAAAACGTAATAAGTATTTTTTAATTTCCACTCATTTTCTTCTTTGCACACTAGATTTAATCACTCCATAGAACATAGCAGAAAAAGTTTAAAAGTCAAAATTTATCTTGGTGCTTGTTTTCTCATAGTGATTAGCCTATGGAGCCAGTTGTCAGAAGTCTTGTCTGCGCTACTAAACATTTCATTCAAGAGCAGTCTGTGAACCTTTTGGGAAATAATTAACACATACCTTGGAAACTTTCTGTTATAAAGCTAAAATCATCTTGAAGGTAACCTAACATTCCGTAACAAAGACTTCGGTGTTGGCATTTTCCCTCATTTCTAATTCCATGTCTAACTGCTACTGAAACCGCCAACATAACCCAGTCTACATTTACGCGGAGCAAAACAAAGGAACGTTTTGCAGAATGTAATGAAACTCGGGGAGCAAAACAGGCGATTTTGCAACATTCCCCTGAGTTTTTTCGCCCCCGCGTTCTGCAACTTGTTTCCCCCAAAATGCCCCTCCTTTTAATTTCATGGCCCCGAATTTCGCCCCTGTTCTTCGCATTGCCCAGCGAAAATACTGATCGGGTAAGATCAACAAGACAGTCGAGTTAACTGAATATAGAACTGCGCCTTATTCATCGACGCACGATGAATGTGATCAGATGGTGAACAACTGAAAATTCCAGTCCGGGCACGTTACGGCAGTTCAATCAGTGTAAAAATTCAGGAAGGCATTGGTCATTTACAGATGCTGAGAGAATTGTTTTTTCTTGATAATTGTCAGATGAGATAGTGTAAGTATTAATAACAAGCTTACGACTCCCTAAAAGCTGTAAACTTTCATGTATTAAACACACTTCATGTAAAAATTACACTTAACACTACCATAACATCAATGATTGCATAGCTAATCCCTAAATTACAATGTCTGAAGTTACCTATTTAGTGCTATATTTCCAGTAATTATGCGTTTGTCATGTATTAATAGATATATTTTTAAGTTTCATATACTACACAAGATTTGCTGTGTACTTACGTTCCCCAAGTAATAAAATTCTTACTGCGGAAGCACCACGTGACATCAACAGACTAATCCAAAGACCAAAGTTAGTTAAAGTAGCGTACTTTGCGTACAAACGCCTTTGTTACATTAGAACCAATATCCAATCTCTGTTCTACGATCTTGTATCAGTCATCTGATTTCTTCACTTTAGATTCTAGACTTTGTTGAATTTTTTCTTGTAATTTTTGATTTCTGATGTGAAAGATCCAACACCCAGCATCAATAATGCTAGTGGAGAAAACTTATGGATTTTGAACTCTCACGTCTAGGTCTCAGTTATGTTCCACGGAAGTCTTCTCACTTTACCAGCTTATAGACCTGGAGGTAGTGGTTGTCTATCTGAAGGTTTCATTTGGCTAGTCGTAGAATGGTTTGGTTGCGAGAGCGATGCAGCCCCTGACAAGAGCAATCACTTTTGTTGAATTTAATGTCTTCATAGACACCTGCAAGAGACGATCATTATTCTAAAGTATTTTAAAAGGTTGACTAAGCAGAGGATAAAAGAAGGGGAGTGAGGATTACTTACGAAGAGTAAATAACAAATCTGAATCTAATGATATGGAAGGAGTATGCTTCATGGTGTATTATTATTTTTTATTATTAGTCCCTTGGGTTCCTAGTGGAACATAGGGCTTCAGTAGCACGCCTCCAGTGACCTCTGTTCTCTGAGATCTTTCGAACCTGGTTCCACGACAGCCCACAACCTCTCATTTCCTCCTCGCATGACCTCCTCCATGTCACCCTCACCACGGACGTCCAACTCGTCGCTTCCCATGGGGATTCCACTCGAGCAACTGGCCTGACGCGTGATGTCCCCAGTCGGCCTTCTCAGTGCATGCCCAATCCATCTCCACTTCTTCCTGCATATTTGTTGCGTGATAGGTTCTTGGTTGGTTCGTTCCCAGAGTTCCTTGTTGCTTATTTTTCTGGCCATCTGATCTTCAGTAGCGAGCGTAAGCAGTTGTTGATGAATGTCTGTAGTTTATTGGAAATCCCTTTCGTGACGCGCCAAGTCTCTGAGCCATACAAGAGCACTGACTTGACGTTGGTGTTGAAAATCCGTATCTTGTTCCGCATGCTGAGTGCAGTCGATCTCCACACTGGTTTCAGGCTAATGAACGCCTGTCTTGCTTTTCCAATTCTGACTTTGACGTCCTCGTCCGTCCCGCCTGTAGTTGAAACAGTGCTTCCTAGATAAGTGAAGGAGGTTACTTCCTTCAAGTTTCTCCCGTTGACGGTGATTGGAGTTTGTTGTTGTTGTTGATGGTGGTGGTGCGGTATCTTCATCACTTCTGTCTTCTCTATATTCACCTGAAGTCCCGTCTTGAGCTGCCTCTTCTATCAACTTGTTAGTTTTTGCCTGCAGATCTTCAAGTTTGTGTGACATTAGGCATAAGTCATCGGCGAAATCCAAGTCTTCTAGGTTCTTTTCCGTCGTCCAGTGTATCCCCCTCTTCTCACAGCTCCCCACTGTTTGCTGCATGATCCAGTCCACCACAATAAGGAATATCATGGGGGATAGTAGGCAACCTTGTTTCACTCCTGTCTTCACTTCAAAGGCATCACTGAGCTTCCCATTGTGAATTACTTGGCATGTGGCATCTTCATAAAGTTGTTGAATGAGATTGATAAAGGTTTGCGGTACTCCGTAGTATTGAAGCAGTTTCTAAATTACTTCTCGGTCGACGCTGTCAAAGGCCTTCTCAAAGTCGATGAAGTTGTAATTTTTGATTTCTGATGTGAAAGATCCAACACCCAGCATCAATAATGCTAGTGGAGAAAACTTATGGATTTTGAACTCTCACGTCTAGGTCTCAGTTATGTTCCACGGAAGTCTTCTCACTTTACCAGCTTATAGACCTGGAGGTAGTGGTTGTCTATCTGAAGGTTTCATTTGGCTAGTCGTAGAATGGTTTGGTTGCGAGAGCGATGCAGCCCCTGACAAGAGCAATCACTTTTGTTGAATTTAATGTCTTCATAGACACCTGCAAGAGACGATCATTATTCTAAAGTATTTTAAAAGGTTGACTAAGCAGAGGATAAAAGAAGGGGAGTGAGGATTACTTACGAAGAGTAAATAACAAATCTGAATCTAATGATATGGAAGGAGTATGCTTCATGGTGTATTATTATTTTTTATTATTAGTCCCTTGGGTTCCTAGTGGAACATAGGGCTTCAGTAGCACGCCTCCAGTGACCTCTCTTCTCTGAGATCTTTCGAACCTGGTTCCACGACAGCCCACAACCTCTCATTTCCTCCTCGCATGACCTCCTCCATGTCACCCTCACCACGGACGTCCAACTCGTCGCTTCCCATGGGGATTCCACTCGAGCAACTGGCCTGACGCGTGATGTCCCCAGTCGGCCTTCTCAGTGCATGCCCAATCCATCTCCACTTCTTCCTGCATATTTGTTGCGTGATAGGTTCTTGGTTGGTTCGTTCCCAGAGCTCCTTGTTGCTTATTCTTTCTGGCCATCTGATCTTCAGTAGCGAGCGTAAGCAGTTGTTGATGAATGTCTGTAGTTTATTGGAAATCCCTTTCGTGACGCGCCAAGTCTCTGAGCCATACAAGAGCACTGACTTGACGTTGGTGTTGAAAATCCGTATCTTGTTCCGCATGCTGAGTGCAGTCGATCTCCACACTGGTTTCAGGCCAATGAACGCCTGTCTTGCTTTTCCAATTCTGACTTTGACGTCCTCGTCCGTCCCGCCTGTAGTTGAAACAGTGCTTCCTAGATAAGTGAAGGAGGTTACTTCCTTCAAGTTTCTCCCGTTGACGGTGATTGGAGTTTGTTGTTGTTGTTGATGGTGGTGGTGCGGTATCTTCATCACTTCTGTCTTCTCTATATTCACCTGAAGTCCCGTCTTCGCTGACCTGCCTCTTCTATCAACTTGTTAGTTTTTGCCTGCAGATCTTCAAGTTTGTGTGACATTAGGCATAAGTCATCGGCGAAATCCAAGTCTTCTAGGTTCTTTTCCGTCGTCCAGTGTATCCCCCTCTTCTCACAGCTCCCCACTGTTTGCTGCATGATCCAGTCCACCACAATCAGGAATATCATGGGGGATAGTAGGCAACCTTGTTTCACTCCTGTCTTCACTTCAAAGGCATCACTGAGCTTCCCATTGTGAATTACTTGGCATGTGGCATCTTCATAAAGTTGTTGAATGAGATTGATAAAGGTTTGCGGTACTCCGTAGTATTGAAGCAGTTTCTAAATTACTTCTCGGTCGACGCTGTCAAAGGCCTTCTCAAAGTCGATGAAGTTGTAATTTTTGATTTCTGATGTGAAAGATCCAACACCCAGCATCAATAATGCTAGTGGAGAAAACTTATGGATTTTGAACTCTCACGTCTAGGTCTCAGTTATGTTCCACGGAAGTCTTCTCACTTTACCAGCTTATAGACCTGGAGGTAGTGGTTGTCTATCTGAAGGTTTCATTTGGCTAGTCGTAGAATGGTTTGGTTGCGAGAGCGATGCAGCCCCTGACAAGAGCAATCACTTTTGTTGAATTTAATGTCTTCATAGACACCTGCAAGAGACGATCATTATTCTAAAGTATTTTAAAAGGTTGACTAAGCAGAGGATAAAAGAAGGGGAGTGAGGATTACTTACGAAGAGTAAATAACAAATCTGAATCTAATGATATGGAAGGAGTATGCTTCATGGTGTATTATTATTTTTTATTATTAGTCCCTTGGGTTCCTAGTGGAACATAGGGCTTCAGTAGCACGCCTCCAGTGACCTCTGTTCTCTGAGATCTTTTGAACCTGGTTCCACGACAGCCCACAACCTCTCATTTCCTCCTCGCATGACCTCCTCCATGTCACCCTCACCACGGACGTCCAACTCGTCGCTTCCCATGGGGATTCCACTCGAGCAACTGGCCTGACGCGTGATGTCCCCAGTCGGCCTTCTCAGTGCATGCCCAATCCATCTCCACTTCTTCCTGCATATTTGTTGCGTGATAGGTTCTTGGTTGGTTCGTTCCCAGAGTTCCTTGTTGCTTATTTTTTCTGGCCATCTGATCTTCAGTAGCGAGCGTAAGCAGTTGTTGATGAATGTCTGTAGTTTATTGGAAATCCCTTTCGTGACGCGCCAAGTCTCTGAGCCATACAAGAGCACTGACTTGACGTTGGTGTTGAAAATCCGTATCTTGTTCCGCATGCTGAGTGCAGTCGATCTCCACACTGGTTTCAGGCTAATGAACGCCTGTCTTGCTTTTCCAATTCTGACTTTGACGTCCTCGTCCGTCCCGCCTGTAGTTGAAACAGTGCTTCCTAGATAAGTGAAGGAGGTTACTTCCTTCAAGTTTCTCCCGTTGACGGTGATTGGAGTTTGTTGTTGTTGTTGATGGTGGTGGTGCGGTATCTTCATCACTTCTGTCTTCTCTATATTCACCTGAAGTCCCGTCTTAGCTGCCTCTTCTATCAACTTGTTAGTTTTTGCCTGCAGATCTTCAAGTTTGTGTGACATTAGGCATAAGTCATCGGCGAAATCCAAGTCTTCTAGGTTCTTTTCCGTCGTCCAGTGTATCCCCCTCTTCTCACAGCTCCCCACTGTTTGCTGCATGATCCAGTCCACCACAATAAGGAATATCATGGGGGATAGTAGGCAACCTTGTTTCACTCCTGTCTTCACTTCAAAGGCATCACTGAGCTTCCCATTGTGAATTACTTGGCATGTGGCATCTTCATAAAGTTGTTGAATGAGATTGATAAAGGTTTGCGGTACTCCGTAGTATTGAAGCAGTTTCCAAATTACTTCTCGGTCGACGCTGTCAAAGGCCTTCTCAAAGTCGATGAAGTTGAGGTAGAGAGCTGATTGCCATTCTATGCTCTGTTCTATGATGATGCGAAGCGTTGCAATTTGGTCTGCACATGATTTGTACTTCCTGAAGCCTGCCTGTTCCGGTCGCAGTTTTGAATCCAGTGCGTCTTTAAGCCTCTCCAGGATGATGCGGCTTAATATTTTACTTGGGGTGGACAGGAGAGTGATTCCGCGCCAGTTCTTGCAAGC